TCTTGACTGTAAAAGTTTTGAAACTTAAATCTTTCCTTCCAAGGAACTTGTCTCTTGTTTAGAGGTAAGATTGAATTTCATTTGAGTAACCTCGACAGAAAAGGTATAAGGTAGGATTGCTAAAGGTATATGATAACTCTTCAATGTAGGCAGAAATAGAAAGTGGAAGTTAAGAAAATGCTAATGATAAGGGGACATCTGAGGAAATTCCTAAAGAGGTTGATGAACCTCCACTGAAAAAGAGGAATAGAATTTATGATTGAGGAGATGCTTAGGATGGGATTTTTAAAGGCTCCTCACTGCGTGACTTGTAAAAACCCTCTACCTTAAGACATTTTAACCCATCATAAAACCTCTACTATGGTAGAAAAGGAGAGCTGTTAAAACGAGCTACCATAGTAGAAGGAAAATTTCATATTTTTAGAAATTGACTTTCAAGCTCAGGTCAACCCGTAAGACATTGCATGCAACTAAAATAATCCATTCATATACATTTACTGGGCCTCCGAGCCTCTGGCCCGGGTAACAACAAACATCACATCCGCCCATCTAGATGATTCCCAACCAAATAATCCAGAGTTCATAAAACACTAGCAATGGCCTCCGGCCAACCAAAATAAGGAGATACATTCTCTCCAGTTTACAACAAGGCCGGGTAATCAAATATATCAAAAAGCAGTCCTAAATGTGGTAATATATACTAGTCATACATATACAAATGCTAGAGGCCTAAAGCTAACCGAGCTCAAGCCTCTGCGTCTCTTCCCGATGGCCCACGCCTGGAGCCTTCACCTGAAAACATTGTAAACCACGGGGTGAGACTAAGTCCCAGTAACCAACCTTTCCAATACTAGGTACTACTAAATAGGTGCTCGTGAGGTGTCAAGTGGGGCAGTTCACAAACAATATAAAACGATAGCCACAACAATTCATGTAAGTGCAATGATGCAATCCCATCAACCAAATCCCTCACTTTGGGGGATTTTCAGGAGCCGAAGCCGACCTATCCCTCACTATGGGGGACGTAAGGAGCCATAAAAGGCCTATCCCTCACTCTAGGGGACGTAGGTAGCCAAAAGGCCTATCCCTCACTATGGGGGACGTACTAAGCCAACCATCATGCATTAATGGAGGCCTTACCACGTGGTAGTAACAGACAAAACTCTCACCAATTCCCAATTAATGCATCATGCTCAAATCATAATCAAAGAGTAATAATCATTTCACAATTAACCTCATTCAGTGGCATATCCTTCACAATTTCAAGATTTCATTCATCATCAATTAAAAACCCCACAAGACGGTTTCCCTTTTTATATACAACATACAGTTCGAACATAATTACTACTTAAGCAGCACAAAACACAAATCTACTCACAATACCACAGAAGCAAGTACTAAGGATTGGAAAGTGGTTACCTCTCGCCTGAGCAAGGAACAACAAACCAACGATGTGGCCCCGTGCACCACCAAGACTCACAACCGGTCTACACAAGCACACAAACACACAACCATCATATATTAGCTTTCAAACTAATAATGTGGTCAACACAACACTTGGGGACACAAAATTCCTATCTCCCATCAAAACTCTACCCAACTCAAAGGGTATATCTATCAAGGCAACACTCCAAAGTCATACCAATCCATTAACACCTTAATTCCTTTCCAAACATCAATTAAGATTCACAACCTCAAGGACCCACTATAGGAATTCTACCCCCAAACATCCTATTTGAGCAATTAAGGTTCCAACAACAAATCTAAACCTATTAAACATCCAATTTAACCCTCCTTAACATAACCCAATTCACAAAACTCAAAATCAATCTCTACATTATCATCCTCAATCAAAACCTCCTATTTCCATAAACCCTAACTCCAAAAATTCAAGATTCTTTAAATCCAAGGAAACTACACCGATTAAATACTTAAACTAACCCAATGCAATCAATTAAACCAAAACAATCGGTCAAAAACCTCAATTTCATCACAACTTAGAAAATCCTAGGGTTCTACCAAAAATCCTCAGAAATTCCAAGAAATTCCAAGAAAGAAAGAAGATTAGAGGTTAAAATCACTTACTTGTGGTAATGGATCCTTAGAAATGCCCCCTCCAAGCCAAAAGTTCGAAACCCTAGCAGAGCTCCTCTCTCCTCTTTCAGATTTTCTTATTTTCGCACGCTGAACCCTCCCGCGACTATATAGATTCGCGACCTTTCGCCGCGGCGAACTAATCCCGAGAGGGATTACTCGCCTAAAAACCTGACTTCGCCGCGGCGAACCCCAATCTTCGCCGCGGCGAAAGCTTCCCGAGAGGAAACTCTCGCTCGCCCAGAAAACATTCGCCGCGGCATACCCCTACCTTCGCCGCGGCGAAACCTTCCCAAAGGGAAGCCTCGCTCACCTGAACAACTTCGCCGCGGCGTCCCCTAGACTTCGCCGCGGCCAAACCTTCCAGAGAAGACATTCCCCTCTGAAACTCCGGTGCGCCGCGGCGAACATACCCTGAGAGGGGTACGTTCACCTATTCCTCCAACAAACCTCAAATCCAACCCAAACACCAAGATCAAGATTAAATCACTAATCTATCCTCAAAATCAACCCAAAAGAGGCTATTAAAACCCGATAAAACTCAGGATGTTACAACTCTCCCCAACTAAGGAATTTTGTCCCCAAAATTCAAGCAATCACACAAAACACCACACAAACAAACACAAACACTTACTAAGAAAACAAACGAGGGTAATCACGTCGCATCCTTTCCTCTGTCTCCCAGGTGGCATCACCAGGACTCATGCCCTTCCAGAAGACTTTCACCAATCGAATGGTCTTATTCCTCAACTGCTCGTCCTTCACATCAAGATCCTTTCCGGTTCGCCTGGTAAGTTAGATTATCATCCAGCTCCACCTCCTCAGGCTCTAAGATGTGAGATGGATCAGGGTGGTACTTCTTGAGTTGGGACACATGAAACACATCATGTACGTTGGACACGTGCGGCGGCAAAGCAACTCGATAAGCCACTTCTCCAATTCTCTCCAGAATTTCAAAGGGTCCAAGAAATCTAGGAGATAACTTCCTCGCTTTAATGGACCTCCCAATACCAGTAGTAGGCGTGACCCTCAAAAACACATGGTCACCCTCACAAAACTCCAATGGTCTCCTCCTCCTATCAGCATAACTCTTTTGCCGGCTCTGAGCTGTCAACAACTTCTGCTTGATGATCTCAATCTTCTCTGTAGTAGCATCTACCAAATCTGGTCCTAAAACCGTTCTTTCACTTAGTTCCGTCCAACAAAGAGGCGATCTACACTTTTGGCCGTAGAGTGCTTCATAAGGGGCCATCTAGATGCTGGCATGGTAGCTATTATTGTAGGCAAACTCAGCTAAGGGTAGGTGATCAATCCAACTCCCCTTGAATTCAATGGCACAAGCCCTCAACATATCCTCTAGCGTCTAGATTGTTCGCTCGGTCTGTCCATCAGTCTGTGGGTGATATGCCATACTGAACTTCAACTTAGTACCCAAAGCCACATTCACCGCTTTCCAGAAGTTAGAAGTAAAGCACGGATCTCGATCCGAGACTATACTCGACGGAACACCATGAAGCCTGACGATTTCATCCATGTACAACTTGGCCATTCTCTCCAAGGTATAATTGACTTTAGGGTAAAAAGTGAGCAGATTTTGTCAATCTGTCCACCACCACCCAAATAGCATCATACCCTTCGGGTGTCCTTGGCAAACCTACAATGAAGTCCATGGAGATGCTGTCCCACTTCCACTGAGGAATTTCTAGTCCTTGCAACAAGCCTCCAGGTCGTTGATGCTCTATCTTGACCTTCTGGCAAGTCAAACACCGAAGTACGAAGTCAGTCACTTCCTTCTTCATGTTGGGCCACCAATACTGCTGCTTTAGGTCGTGGTACATCTTGGTTGCTCCGGGGTGGATAGCGTAACGGCTTCGATGAGCCTCCTCTAGGATAGTTCTTTTAATCTCCTCATCTTGGGGAACACAAATCCAGTTCTTATACTTCAGGATGCCCATATCTCCAAGTTCATAGTCCTGTACTGGGCTATCCTCCAATTCTACCCGAATCTTTGCCAACTGATCATCTTCCCATTGAGCCGCTCGTAAATCCTGATAGAATTCATAATCTCCGAGCACTGCACATAAAGTAGCCTACTCCGATGGTACAATTGGGATCTCTAACAACTCCTCGAGCAAGAATTGTTCCTTTAAGCTTATACAGAACACATGCACTGCTTTTCTACTCAGAGCATCTGCTACCACATTTGCTTTTCTAGGATGATACTTAATCTCAAAGTCATAGTCCTTCAGGAACTCCATCCAACGACGCTGCCAGTTGTTCAACTCTTTCTGATCCACCAAGTATTTCAAACTTTTATGGTCACTGAAGACTTCGAACTGGGAGCCATACAGATAATGCCTCCAGATCTTTAGTGCAAAAACTACTGCCGTTAGCTCCAAGTCATGGGTTGGGTAGTTTTCCTCATGTGGCCTCAGCTGCCTGGAAGCATATGCCACCACCTTATTGTTCTGTATTAGCACACAACCCAAACCCTTTAGTGACGCATCAGTGTAAAGAACATAAGGTACTCTGGGGATTGGAAGAGTAAGCACTGGAGCTGTAGTCAACTTGGTCTTCAGCTCTTGGAACGCTGACTCACATTTCTCCGTCCAAACAAACGGTTGATCCTTCTTGGTTAACTTAGTCAACGGCATTGCAATCTGAGAAAAGCCTTGGATGAACCTCTGATAGTATCCAGCTAATCCCACAAAACTCCGTACCTCAGTTACCGATCTAGGGACTTCCCACTTAAGTACCGCATCCACCTTGTTAGGATCCACTGCTACTCCCTGTGCTGACACCAAATGACCCAGAAACTTCATTTCTTTTAGCCAAAACTCGCACTTTGACAGCTTAGCATACAACTGGTGATCCCTCAATATCCGTAGTGCGATGTGAAGATGCTCTCAATGTTCTTCCTCACTTCTAGAATAAATCAGAATGTCATCGATGAACACTACCACAAATCTGTCCAAATAAGGTCGGAAGATCCGATTCATGTAGTCCATAAAGATAGCTGGAGCATTTGTCAGTCCAAAGGGCATCACCAAAAACTCATAATGTCCATAACGAGTTCGAAAAGCCGTTTTCGAAATGTCCTCTGCTCGTACCCTCAACTGATGGTATCCTGATCTCAGATCAATCTTAGAGAAAACTGATGCTCCGACTAATTGGTCCAATAGGTCATCAATTCTAGGCAACGGGTACTTGTTCTTGATTGTGACCTTGTTTAGTTGTCGGTAGTCGATACACAACCTCAAGCTACCATCTTTCTTCCTCACAAACAAAACCGGCGATCCCCACGGTGACACACTTGGTCGGATAAGTCCCTTTTCTAGCAATTCTTCTAGCTGCTTTTTTAACTCGACCAACTCTGAAGGAGACATTCTATAGGGAGCCTTGGAGATTGGGGTGGTTCCTGGAACCAACTCGATGGAGAACTCCACTTCTCGCTCTGGAGGTAGTCCTGCAACCTCATCCGAAAACACTTCGGGGTAGTCCCTCACCACAGCTATCTGTTCAATTCCTCCTGCCTCATCCTCAATAATTGAAAAGAAGACAATGAAGGCCTGGCACCCTTTCCTCACCGCCTTCTCTACCTGAGCAGCTGACAACAAAACCGGACCACTTGACATCTCAGCACATAAGGCACCTACCGGAATTGTCACCAACCTCCTTTTACAATCAAGGATTGCTCCATTGGCCATCAACCAATTCATGCCAATAATCACGTCGATACCTTTCAGAGGTAGACAAAACAGATCTATTGTAGAATCTTGATTCTCAAACTGAAGTGCAAGCTCTAGACACGCTCTTCCAGTTACGACAGTGACTCCAGCAGGAGTAGACACTCTTAAGTCATAAGGTAGCTCAACCACAAGCAAGCTCAACTTCTGAGCACAGTCCACAGAAATAAAGGAGTGCGTAGCACCCGAGTCAAATAAAGCAGAAATAACATGTCCCTCAAGTAGAATGTTACCTCGAATCAAGTTCGGAGATGCAGAAGCCTCCTCATTTGTCATCGCATAGACACGTCCTGGAACAGTAGAACGACCAGCTTGAGGTGTCGGCTGACTCTCTGGACAGTTTTTGGCAATATGTCCCCACCGGTGGCATCGAAAGCACTCCCAGCATTGCCCCGCATGCCTACCCCCACATCCGGGGCACGGTCCAGTAACACTCGGGGTAGTCACTGAAGAATCTCGACGGGAGCCCTGTCCCCCTCCGGCTTGATTGTTTGGATTCTGGCGCCTCTGCATAAAGCCCCTCTGAGCATTCACCCTCTGATTCTGCCCTTGATTCCTGTTTCTCCCTGAGCTACTCAAGCTCCCAGAGCTGTATTGACTCCTCTTCCCCACTCCTCCTGTAGGACCCGGATAACGGGCCGCTCTAGCTTGATTCTCAGCCCTCCTTGCCTCTACCACCTCTCTTGTCCTTCTAGCAGTAACCCACAGCTTCACACACATCTCCTCAAAGGTCTTGACCTCTAACAAGGCCAACTGCTGTTTCAACTCCGGCCTTGCACGGTTCATCAATTGTTGAGCTAACCAGAGTGAATGATCTTCCGTCTGCCTAGGCACATACTTTGCCAAATCTATAAACCTTGTGATAAACTGGTCCTCATGCATCTCGCCCTGCTTCAAGGAGTAGAATAGGAATTGCTTTTCCATTCGCAACTCCTTCGAAAAGAAGTGATCATAAAACATCCGCTTGAAGGTGAAGGGAATTGAAAGACGACGCGCAGCGGAAAACAACACAAAATTTTAAAACTTTTCAATCCCTTGCCCGGATCTACCGATCGTGTTTAAGTCAGGTAGTAAGAAGTATTACCTTCGGTGTTCGGTTTCCGAGTGGCTTGGTGATTCCGCCGTTCAGGATGCCTCTGCTCGCCTCCTTTATCGTTCGAAGTCGACAACTCCGGTCGGCTTCCTCTATCGGTATCCACACGAGTAGCCCTCAACCTCGAACGATGTGCTAGCGTCTATGTCCGTCTAGGGTTTTCAGAGAATCCGTCCACTCTTATCTCTCTTAGGCCGTCTCTTATCTGTTGGTGCTTTCACTCTCACTCCTCAAACCCTAGCTCCCTAATATCGAATATATAGGATGCTATAGGTATTATGAGTGATATTTTAATTTCGAAATTAATCCCAAATTAATTCCGAAATTAATACAATATCAAATATTGCATAATTAGATAAGAGAACAATTAAATAAATACGGTTTATATTAAATCCGTCTCACAGATTTAATTCACCTATTTATCTAATTCAAAAATAAAGATATGACGGAATTAATTTACATAGATCTAATTTATCCTTATAAATTAAATCTAACAATTAATATCTCTTATATTTATATATAATATATATATACGAATATATATATATATACACGTCCACCCTATTTATTCATTGAATCTGGACATATCCTAGATTCAATGAATCTGGACATCATAACTCGTGTTGGGCTATTTTGTGTGCGACCCTGTAGGCCCATATGAAGTTGGCAGTGGGCCATTAACTATAATGACTCACAAGCCGTAAGCGGTCTCTAGCAAGACATCACGACTACCCAAAACATATGAGGATCATTGAACGATGCAACCTTTCATACAACCATATCGCGTCCCTTTTGTCACACGACATTTTGGTCATGGACGAGGCATGGAGAACGTCATCCTCCTATTCATGACCGTTACTTTCTCGATCCCTGAGTAGTCTGAGTATAGAAACGGAACTACCTTTTCATTATAGTATGGCCATACATTTCTCAGACTCACTCATCGAGGGGCCCAGTAATGTCTCTCTACGAATGTGAGGGACAAATTCCATCTTGACCATTCACATTCCTCCGCATGAAAAACCATTAAGCCTGAACACAGTCTTTATGATCACTCGGTCAAAAGTGACTTTTGACTAGGTCAAAGCTAAGCGTCTCTCATGTAGGAATCCATGATGATCTCAGGTCAAAGGGCACAGTGACATGGTTTGTATATGAGAGAAGCTTATGACTTAACCTATGCAGCTCTCTCATAGCGGGTCGGTCCAACACCTTGTACTCTTACATGTGCCTATGACTTTAATTTATATCTCTATATATCTTTAAAGTCATACTGGTCTTATTTCATCTTTGCTCCCACATAGATGACCGACCAAGGACATTTAGGATAAACCATGAGTTATCCAAGGATAGTCATCACAGTAAACATGCAAATAATATGATAACGTAATTAATAAATTCATAAATGAACAATGTTCAAAACATAATGATTGGCCCCTAGGGCACAATTTCCAACAGAAGGTATCCCAGTCCAACTGAGATATATCAGAAGGTCTTGCACTATCCCACCAATGCCTTGCTTGCTCCACCAGATAGGTAACCGCCACTTATACCTTGAGCGGGGAAAGACAAGGAACAGCAGTAAAGATTGTCTCCATCTGCTCAATCTACTTTTCTGCATCTGATGGTTCCAAACTTCCCTTGAACTGGGCAGGATCATGACGATGCACCTCCCTCCATACCTTGGTGATGTCATTCAGCAACGGAGGGTAAATCACTCCCTCTAAAGTATCTCCTCCATGGCTAGCCGCTCGATACTCCTCCCTCTGAGGTAAATCTCCGGCTCGATCACCACTCCTAACCCCCCTTTCTCCTACTCCTCGTGCCTCTATGGTCACCTCATTCTCTCGGTCCTCTTGATTGACCGACTCTTGATGCTTCCTCATGAAGTCTTCTTCAAACTTCCTCAACCTTTCATCCACCACCGCCGTCATCATCTCCCTCATTTGTCTCAGAAAAGCCTCACTCTCTTGAGGCGGTCCATTACCGGCTGGATCTGTTTGACGTGTCCGTACCATCCTTCCTCTCCCCAACTAAGGATGGAAACCCTCATTAGTAAAGAAAGAAAGGAAACACAAAGAAACAGGGAAGGTATGTATGAAGTATGTATATTGCCACTAGGAAAAGAAACAATTTCAAAGAAACAAACCGGCTCTGAATACCAATTTGTAAAAACCCTCTACCTCAAGACATTTTAACCCATCATAAAACCTCTACTATGGTAGAAAAGGAGAGCTGTTAAAACGAGCTACCATAGTAGAAGGAAAATTTCATATTTTTAGAAATTGACTTTCAAACTCGGGTCAACCCGTAAAACGTTGCATGCAACTAAAATAATCCATTCATATACATCTACTGAGCCTCCGAGCCTCCGGCCCGGGTAACAACAAACATCACATCCGCCCATCTACATGATTCCCAACCCAATAATCCAGAGTTCATAAAACACTAGCAATGGCCTCCGGCCAACCAAAATAAGGAGATACATTCTCTCCAGTTTACAACAAGGCCGGGTAATCAAATATATCAAAAAGTAGTCCTAAATATGGCAATATATACTAGTCATACATATACAAATGCTAGAGGCCTAAAGCTAACCGAGCTTAAGCCTCTGCGCCTCTTCCCGATGGCCCACGCCCGGAACCTTCACCTAAAAACATTGTAAACCACAGGGTGAGACTAAGTCCCAGTAACCAACCTTTCCAATACTAGGTACTACTAAATAGGTGCTCATGAGGTGTCAAGTGGGGCAGTTCACAAACAATATAAAACGATAGCCACAACAATTCATGTAAGTGCAATGATGCAATCCCATCAACCAAATCCCTCACTTTGGGGGATTTTCAGGAGCCGAAGCTGGCCTATCCCTCACTATGGGGGACGTAAGGAGCCATAAAAGGCCTATCCCTCACTCTGGGGGATGTAGGGAGCCAAAAGGCCTATCCCTCACTATGGGGGACGTACTAAGCCAACCATCATGCATTAATGGAGGCCTTACCACGTGGTAGTAACAGACAAAACTCTCACCAATTCCCAATTAATGCATCATGCTCAAATCATAATCAAAGAGTAATAATCATTTCACAATTAACCTCATTCAGTGGCATATCCTTCACAATTTCAAGATTTCATTCATCATCAATTAAAAACCCCACAAGACGGTTTTCCCTTTTTATATACAACATACAGTTCGAACATAATTACTACTTAAAGCACAAAACACAAATCTACTCACAATACCACAGAAGCAAGTACTAAGGATTGGAAAGTGGTTACCTCTCGCCTGAGCAAGGAACAACAAACCAACGATGTGGCCCCGTGCACCACCAAGACTCACAACCGGTCTACACAAGCACACAAACACACAACCATCATATATTAGCTTTCAAACTAATAATGTGGTCAACACAACACTTGGGGACACAAAATTCCTATCTCCCATCAAAACTCTACCCAACTCAAAGGGTATATCTATCAAGGCAACACTCCAAAGTCATACCAATCCATTAACACCTTAATTCCTTTCCAAACATCAATTAAGATTCACAACCTCAAGGACCCACTATAGGAATTCTACCCCCAAACATCCTATTTGAGCAATTAAGGTTCCAACAACAAATCTAAACCGATTAAACATCCAATTTAACCCTCCTTAACATAACCCAATTCACAAAACTCAAAATCAATCTCTACATTATCATCCTCAATCACAAACCTCCTATTTCCATAAACCCTAACTCCAAAAATTCAAGATTCTTTAAATCCAAGGAAACTACACCGATTAAATACTTAAACTAACCCAATGCAATCAATTAAACCCAAAACAATCGGTCAAAAACCTCAATTTCATCACAACTTAGAAAATCCTAGGGTTCCACCAAAAATCCTCAGAAATTCCAAGAAATTCCAAGAAAGAAAGAAGATTAGAGGTTAAAATCACTTACTTGCGGTAATGGATCCTTAGAAATGCCCCCTCCAAGCCAAAAGTTCGAAACCCTAGCAGAGCTCCTCTCTCCTCCTTCAGATTTTCTTATTTTCGCACGCTGAACCCTCCCGCGACTATATAGATTCGCGACCTTTCGCCGCGGCGAACTAATCCCGAGAGGGATTACTCGCCTAAAAACCTGACTTCGCCGCGGCGAACCCCAATCTTCGACGCGGCGAAAGCTTCCCGAGAGGAAACTCTCGCTCACCCAGAAAACATTCACCGCGGCATACCCCTACCTTCGCCGCGGCGAAACCTTCCCGAAAGGGAAGCCTCGCTCACCTGAACAACTTCGTCGCGGCGTCCCCTAGACTTCACCGCGGCCAAACCTTCCCGAGAAGACATTCCCCTTTGAAACTCTCGGTGCGCCGCGGCAAAGTAAACTTCGCGCGGCGAACATACCTTGAGAGGTGTATGTTCACCTATTCCTCCAACAAACCTCAAATCCAACCCAAACACCCAGATCAAGATTAAATCACTAATCTATCCTCAAAATCAACCCAAAAGAGGCTATTAAAACCCGATAAAACTCAGGATGTTACATGACTCCTAATGAAATAACTAAGAATATAGTAGACCTAACAAAAACATGAGTCTATGCCTTGGTAAGGAAGCAGAATGATAATTTAAATCTCAAGTAATCATTGTAACCTCGAAGGAGGCAAGGTAATAGGATAGAATGTTTGAGGTTTGTTAAATCATTGAATAGTGATATTAATTCCTAAGGGATAGTAAACCAAGAGGGATAGAGGTTGAATGATATTGAATGGAGAGTTAATGGTAAGCTAGATGCCTAACTAGATACGACACAACAAAGTAAATAAACCATTGTGACAAACTCAATTA